ATGCCTAGTGAAAACTTGTATAAGTTCCAGCTCATCATTGTCCTTCCAACAAAGCAATGAATATAAGATCTTAGTGTTAAATAGTTTACCCAGTTAAGTAATATCATCTACACCATTCATACCGATGATTGCAAAGTATCTGCTACCTTTAAAGATGAAAAGTTAACCACCTTTAAAAGCAGCTAAATTCAGCTTTGTTTGTAAATTTTTTCTTGGTTTGAAATATCATTCCTTACCACTTTTATCTGGTGGTCCTAGATTTGACATCCTCAAATATTTGAAATATTTTGCAACCATTTTGATCTCACTGTAGTTTCTTCTCATCTCTAGATTAAATAACTGTGAGATATTTTATCTTATTCCCCATGTGACATGGTATCAAATCTCTTCCCCACTTTTATCATTTTCCTCTGAATAATATTCAATTTATATATGTGTTTCAGAAAAGTTGTATCCTGAACAGAACTGAATACAATGCTCCAGACTTGGTCTGCTCAGCGAACAGCAATAGGAAACTACCATCTTCTAAGATCCACATATTATATCTCTTGATACTTAAAATTTTCAGATATGTTATTTTTTTGTATTGACCAAAATTCATTTTCTTTTTTCAGCAATAGGAAACTACCATCTTCTAAGATCCACATAGTTATATCTCTTGATACTTAAAATTTTCAGATACATCATTTTTTTGTATTGATCAAAAATCATTTTCTTTTTTCTGTATGTGTGTGTGTGTGTGTGTGCGTGCACGTGTGCATGTGTATGTGTGTGTAAGTGAAGATATGGTCTGAAAATCAAAGAAAGGGGCAATGAGTAAGAATCATGTGTGTGTATGTGTGTGTGTGTGTGTGCGTGCACGTGTGCTTGTGTATGTGTGTGTAAGTGAAGATATGGTCTAAAAATCAATGAAAGGGGCAATGAGTAAGAATCGGTCAATTAATTAAGACTTCTGAGAAATCATTCAGTTGTAATAATTGCTGAGGTGGAGTTGGATGGATCCAAACAGGAAAGTTCTTGAGATAAACGTAGTGCTTAACTCACTGATTTAAGAGCTTAAACAATGTCATTTTCTGAAAGAAAAGAATTCCAAATGTATAAATCGCTGCTTCCATGGACAATTCTGAAAACAGGTGCTGCAGACACATCATGAGGTTAACTACAAATGTTTTGAGAGCTAGGGTTGAAATAGTTTCTGTGGGACTTTTCAGCCTGTGAAGACAAGCTGAAAGTTTGTAGTGAAATTGATCATTATGAATTTAACAAAGAATGAAAGAGCTCTGGACCAGATTAGTTTTTCCTTATTAGTGAATTTAACATGAATTTGAAAGAAAATTGGAAGAGACATATGCTCAATTTTTACGAATTTTTGCTGGTTTTATCAAGTGTGCATTTTAGAGAATTATTGTTTCAATCATAAAAGCTAAATCTAAATTTTCACTTATCATCAAAGCCCATGTGTATGCACACATGTGTTTTGTAGACTCCTGTATTCTGTCTAGTCCTGCTCAGAATCTTATGTGGCTGCCTTTCATAAATCTGAGAATGTGAGAGTAGGAAGTCTATGGCTTCTCCTGCCTCATGATAAATATGATACACTCTTAAGATAACATGGGTAGTTTTTCATCAAAAGAAATTCACTCAAATTGCATGCATGTGTGTGTGTGTGTGTGTGTGTGTGTGTGTGTGTGTGTTATTTCAAAATAGACATATTAAGAAAATGTATGTTCTGTCCAATTGGGGGATACCACTGTTAAAAATAAAACATTATCCTAGATCTTCTGAAAATAGAACTTGTAGTTTTTTAAAATTATTAATACCCCATTCTGAAAGTGGAGGATTTGCATTTGAAAGCAGGTGATGCTAATGAATCAGATGTGAATGATTAAATTCCAAACTCTGAGGAATAAATATAAGAGATGCTTCTTAGATGGCGGTTGGGTTATCTATACCTAGGGATATTCAGAAAGTACTTTGAAATAAGCTGCATCCTTTATGGCTTATTTAATATTTTCCATATTATCAAAACTTCATATCTAAGGATACAAATTGTAATTTTCATGCTAAAAATTACTTGAAGAGTAATTGTTTTTTTTCTTTTTATTCTGTTTGGTTCAAACTTATGGGTGTGGCTATAGAGTGATGAGACACTTTTCTTATGTAGTATTAAATTGGTTTTCAGGTCACGATTTTTGGTCTAGAACCTCTCAATATTCCAGAATACTCTTGCTTTTAAAAGTCATAATCTCTCTGAAATTCACCTAGAAGGAAACTAGGGCTGTAATTTTTTCTTTGTTCTTTGGCTAGGTAATTGGTGTATGAGAGCAGTAAGCCTCTCTCTCATTCTCTCTTAAAACTTGAAGTGTAGTAAAAAAAAAAAAAAAAAAAGGGAGGGGGTAGCATCTAATTTGCAAGATGGATCTGCATTCAAATATTGGTTTCTTATCTCTTTTGTGTCTTAATATCTTAAAGCATGAGTTCATCCATTTATAAAATGAATATAATGAGAGCAAACATGGGGGGTTGATAAATAAATTAGAGATTCTTAAATGTAAATGTCTAGCAAACACATTAAAAGAAAGTATGAACTAATGTTGATTGAATCTGAATCAATTATTGATATAACTTCAGAGAATCAACTTAATATGTGGATTTATGAGAGTCATAAATTTTAAAAGTTCTGTCTATTCAGTTGATAAAATAGGTATTGATAAAAAATACTACTGAAACACTTAAGCTTCTAGCCTATTGTTAAAGATACTTCATATCCCGTGGGTAAAAACAGAGAAATAAGACAGACTAGTCGCTGAATATGTCTCTCCTATTATGGTGTGAATTTACTTGTGTCAAAGACCTAGTGACATCAGTAAATGACTGAAGAAAATATTTTGAGAGTTTTAACAAGGTCAGTCATATTCAGTTAGCTATGATGACCAAACTACTGATATTAAAACTAAATAGTCACCTCTATGTTCTAGAAGTTCATTTAATATGTTCGGGGTTGGAAGCGACTTCAGACTTGTCACCACTCATTAATATACTGAGCCCATATACAAAATCTCAATATGATTCATCACTTCTCTTCTTGTACACCTTTAGTAATGGGGACCTAGTGTCTCCATTAAATAGTGAAATACATTATCGCTCAACTCTGCTTTAAAGTAGCTTCCTAATTGAATAGAAACCTTTTCCTTAAGGAACAGACTTAGAGTCAATGAATGGAAGTGACAAGAAAAGGCTTCTATTTTGAAGAATTCTTCAAAATAGGAAAATTTTTGCTAATCTAACCAGTTCAGTTATAGAGACTCAATATATAATTTCGGAATAAGTGAATAGAAAAAAAAAAATTAAAGTAGAAGGCTTCCCTGTCACTATAAACTTAATATTATTAACTCAAAAGAAAATACATTTCCAAATATTTATCACTGCTTTATTTGAAATTTGTGATAGAAACACATTATTCATGCAAATTATCTATTAACTAAAAGCAGGGTATTAATTAATTGATCTTATTCTAAAGCAACTGCCTTGGGGTTGCATTAAAGCCTTTGAAAAGTGAGATTCCTGTAAGCTACCCAAGTTCAAGTTCCAAGTTGAAAAAAAAGGAACAAACTTTGTCTTTATTTTAAAAGAACCTCTCTCTCTGGCTTTCTAACACACACACACACACACACACACACACACACACACACACACACACTACAGGTATACCAGAGCAATCCATTTTACTTAAGTAACTCTTTTACTAATGTGTAAAGAAAATATTCTTGAGATGAAGTTCCAATTTTTCTCAGATTTCTCTCAGAGAAAGAAACTTAACTAGTGTTACTTATAACATTTTTATATGTATCATTATTTTTATTCTCATATCTTACGCACAAACATAAAAATAAAGACATAAAACACATGTACAAAATAAAATTTGAAGCTGAAAATAAATGGTTTATTTTTAAAATAAACACATTTACAAATCAAATTAAAAAAGGAAAATACAAAAGTTCATGGATAAAATAAAAAAGATAATTTTAAACTATTAAAACCTATGGAAAGAAAGTGGATCATTAACGAGTGGAGTAATGCTTTTGTTTCCAAATATGATGACGTGCTTGTTTATTAGAATCATAGGGAACCATCTAAGTTACAACACAGAAGAGAATTACATCAATTTTATATGGTTGTATGATCAGACACTCTATATATTATGATTATTTGTTAACTTGGATGCAGAAGGTCTTCATATTGTATATGTCAAACCACTAAGGTTCTTCTTTAACTTTAGAGACATTTGTTTTAACATTAGAGAACAATTTCTTCCTGCTCTCTAAATTATGTGCTTCCCCATTTCCCTCAAATAGCCTGTATTAGGCATCTTCTGGGACATAAAACAAATAAAAAAATATTGAAGCAAAATTCTTTTAGAATGAGACACATCATGTAAATTTGTGCTTTAGATTTTAGCATTTGAAAAAGTTCAGTACCAAAGACAGGAATATAAATAGAAAAAAAAAAATTAAGAAGTTTCTATGAGCACCCAACAACATTTGGGATAAATATGGAATCAAAAGGTACAAAAAGAATGTAGTATTAGCATGAGAATGGCTCCTTGGTGATGGGACTGTCCCGCATTTACCTAAAGCTCATGCAAGAATTGGTATACAAAGCTTATCTGGAGTCAGTTCTCTAGTCTTGTGAATGAAGTATTGTTAGGAGGAGTAATTGTAGTCTGAAACAAGGAACATCATTAAAAGGCTAAAAAAAAAAAAAAAAAAATAGATCCAAGAATGACTCCCTAGCACACTAGTCAAGAATTCATGATTTTTTTTCAATTTAAAATAATCAATAACTCCTATATAGAGAAACAATTTATTATGGTCTTTAATATTGCTGAAGGACTCTTAAATATAAGAGGTAGTTTCAGAATTGCTTCACAACATTCATACTACTGGATAAGGGTTTCTTTAAATTATGAATTATGGTGTTTCACAGAATACTCAGGCTCATTTATAGGTATTTTATTTCCTTTCCTTTATTTCTCAACAGTCCAAATAGAGATTTATTTCTCCAGTAGTTTGGCACTGAGATTAACATATCTGTTTTTTAAGTGTGTGTGCTCAAAATATACCAGATGATCAAGTAATGCCAGAGGACTGGCTACTACTTAGCATTGACCATGGAAGCTCTGTTCACAACAGACGCCACTGCATCCAGATCAACTGTAGCAGTAATGAGTTACTTATACTTATTTAGGGAAGGCAAGAATTAACAAGTTACCACTCTGTGATCTGTGAACTCACAAATAATATTAATCTGTAGAAAACACTGACACAGAAGCATTACAGTAGAGACGTAATTTAAAGACTGGACAAGAGTTCCAGTGGCTTGTAATATTGTGCCAAAGACTATTTAAAGTCATACGCATGTGTGTATATATGTGTGTGTGTGTGCATGTGTATATATATACACACATATATAATTCACATATGTATATGTATATATACATATATAATTCGTGTATCTATATTACATATACATGTAATATAGATCCATATATATATAATTTGTGTATATGAATGTACATGTATATACATATATATATACACATATATAAGATATTCATCATTCTGTAAACTCTGGACTTAGTTTTTACTTTTCAAAGTCTTAAAAACAGTAACAGTTTACTTAAAACAAACTAAAACAAGTTACACTGACAGTAACTTTTCGGCTGACTTGTCTGGAGTGAGTGTATTAACTGTACCAGTGAATAAAATAGGGAAAATACTAGGGATCCAATTAATTCTCTTAGAATATTAATGATAAAAGCAGCTCTCAAGGTCACTGAGTATAACTTCCACACTTAACAATGGGGGGGATAGAAACAAGTGAGGAGAAATTACTTTCCTAATACTCACATTAGCAAGGCTGAGATCAAAAGACAAATTGCCAAACACCCTGTTCTACGCTTTTCTCACAAGCCCGAAAATGCCTTAAAAGCACTTTGCTGTTATTTCACTATTAGCACCATTAGGGGAAGCTTACTAGCAGACTGAACGAAGTGTGGAGCCATCTGTAAACTCTGAAAGACTGATACAAGCAAGGTACAGTAGATAGAGAAGATGGAGTGCTAAATATGGGTTGATGTGTAGATATTCAGAAGTTTACTATAAAAAAAATTTATGGTATATTTTTCAAGTTGACAAATATGACATTGATTACCTGAGATAGAGGGCACAGGGGGTATGGTAGGAGAAAATCATTTATAAGGAGCATTTTTAGTAATACTGCTTTGTATTGTTCTAAGTGAGGAGTGGGTGTCGTGATGGTGTGACGTAAAGCAGAATGAGTAAAAGAGCTCATTATCTTCAGCTAAAATAAATTTAGACCCTGATTATTTTTTTAATGATGAGTAATAAGAGAAAAAGAAGAATATACTGGAAATTCATCACAGATAGCTTAGTTTTAAGGGGTCTTTCAATCCACAGCAAAAGGCTGCCCCATGTTAAAATTCAGAGAGAGAGAGAGAAGGAGGGAGGTAGGGAGGGAGGGAGAGAGAGAAAGAGAGAGAGAGAGAGAGAGAGAGAGAGAGAGAGAGAGAGAGAGACAGAGACAGAGACAGAGACAGAGACAGAGACACAGACAGAGACATGTAGGAACATGGTGAGAGGATAGAGAAAGAGAAATTCACTTTAACCAAGTCTTCGCCTGCAAAGAACAGTGACATCGGGTACTGGTGACAGACTGGTGGTCCTATCATTCTAAACCTTAGTATTGCCTGAGTAAGCAGAACAGCCAGTCATATAGTCACCTTAAATTTATCACTATGGGGAGACTTCCATAGAATTGTTTTCTGTCCATTAAACAATAAATTGGGTATAAAGAAGGGGGAACTCTTCCTTCCTGGGGTTCCCATGGATCTTTTCACCCCTTTCATTGCCCCTTTCATACATTTTTCAAGGATGAATAGGAGAGACCCTGCTCGCCACTTCTAGACCACCTGGAACTTTTCTTCACTGGCATGGCCACCTGCAGCTGCTTCCAGAACCTGCCCTGTGGATACTTGGATTTCTCCCCTTTCCATTTAATGACCGTGAGCACCGTCTTAGCCCTCTTCAGCTCTTTCACCTTCATCTCCTTCACAGCTTTGTACTGCACTAAAATGACGTTGATGTTTCCCCGAGAGGCCATGTTTTCTAGGCCAGCCTTGAGCTCCAGGAGGGCTTGGGTTCCCTGGAGCACGTAGTTGGGGCTTAGGACAACCAGGAGGCGTCTGCTTTTCTGAATGAAGCTCAAGGTCTCATCTGTGACAACTGAGAAAGAAAACACCATGGGGATTAGTGTTGGCTAAGAACTCCCCCAGAGTATGGAGCTTGAGGAGCAAGTGTAGAGAATTTAGGGGAACAGCCTGAGGATTGAGGTGAAACTTTTTACCATGAACATTTTGAACAACTTAATCTTTAAACACATTTACTCTGTTTGCTAAATGTCACTCTGCTCAGGAAGAGAAACTATATGCACATATTACAACCCCAAAAGAATTTCAAACAGGCCTGAAGCCAAAACATCCTTCTATGACATTGGTCTTCAAAAATATTATTTGGAACATTAAGGAACAAATGAATACTGAAATAAATTTCTTCAAACCAGGTGGCATGTGGTGGCCCAGCCAAAGCAGCTCCTGAGCCTTTTCTCCCCAAAGATATCCATGTATCATCTCTAGTGCCAGTGAGCATTCAAAAAGATATACATTACAGAGTCAAAAATCATAGAAATTATTTTTTGTGAACACAGGACAGCAAGAGGAGGAACCTTCAGTTTTGAAAGTCCCTTTCTGTTGTCACGTACCTCTTGAGTAGAATGGTATGACTATGTCATTGGAATAAAAACTTTGAAAAAATCTAGCCAACTGAATGGTATTTTGGTTGGCATCACATTCTCAGCTCAACTCTCTATTCTGCTCTCTGCTCTGAAAGCTAAATTAATCCCTGGATCTTTCTCCTTAATCTCCTATCATTATAATGAAGCCATGTGTTTCGGCAGCTGCTGGCTGATGTGTCTGCCTTTGCTACCAGGCAAACACCTTCTTCAGGTCAGAAAAGAAGAGCAAGGAAAATGGAAATTCACTGTAATTTTATTCTGTTGTCAAGGGCTTTGATTAGGTCCTGTCATTAAATTCTTAGGAATAATCCATCTCCTCAAGGTTGTTTATCAAATACTGTATGATATTTTACCTGGAGTTCAGATAGGAGCCAACTCCAGAGAACACACTAGTGTTGTGGAAAGCTATTTCTTGACTTACCATACTTTCCTAAGCAGTCATTTTGCCCATTTAATCTTCATAAGTACAGAAGCAGTAGAGAAAAACTTGCAATTAAAATAGCATGTGCAACCTGGATGAGAATCCAGGAAAAAGTAATTGTCTACTCCAAGCAGGGTTGCTAGAGGCTGACCATGTGTAAGCATGGAAAAAAGACCCAGAAGCAAAGAGGACCCAGTAAGAGCAGCAGGGAGAATGAGAAGATCAAGATGTAGAAGTATGACGTACCCCTATTGGAGGTCTTACATTGTGATACTGAATGTCTTTATATAATTTTTCATACAGTAGATAAATATTTGTTGAATGGCTGTATAAATGAACAAATGTATGAATAAATGATTTAAAATTTTATTTTAAAATGAGTAGAATTTATCCTTTAACTGCATAATCAATTTACCATTTCCTGGCAAAATTACAGTGAAGGAGATATCCATTATAAGCAAGATAGACTTATGAGTAATGATTAGGAAGATAAAATAAGCGATCCAGCTAATTCAAAATGAGAATAAACATTTATGTCTATTTTGTATTAGACTTAAATTGAAACTATTCTCAATTATCCTTATAACATTTTGAAAAATGTGATGTGACTAATGTAAACAGGATTTTAGGGGAAGAAAATTAGTTTGATGTGCTAAAGTTTAGAGATATCACATGCATTTCAACAGTACAAAGATTAACAGTAAGTTTAGGAATGCTATTATGTATTTATGAAACAGACTGAAATGTGTTACTGTCTGTTAGAGATGTACTTTTATTTTAAAAATTAGAGATGTACTTTTATTTTAAAACATTCAGCAATTCAAACTTTTTTTTTTAACCTACCAGAATATACTAGACTTTGTAAAATTTTAAACTATATCTCGAAGGTGTAAGCTGATAGAAAGAAAGAAACTGACCCACAGGGAAGGAGAATTTAGTTTGCTAGAAAACAAAAGTGAAGAAAAGGAAATTACCAAATGCCAAAGGGAAATATTATAATGATTGTCAGTGAGTAATATAAAGAAAAATTCCATGCACTCTATTCTGTAACTATTTTTTAGCAAAAATGAGTCAACCTTGCTCTTTGTAAAAAATATTCTAGGCAAATTAATGCAGATTAGCTAAACTTTCTAAAAATCTAAATGTGAATAAACAGGGCATTTAAAGCTGTGGTATTTAATAGAGCTCTAATCCACTGCGCATCCAAATTTTTTTGAAATAGAATTTTTAAAGTTCACAAAGGAAAATATTTTATACCATAAAACTGCACCTGAATAGTCTACGTCTTACAATGCAGTTTTATTCCTAGAGAGTCTCTGTCTATTAAAACCAAGAATTGGACATTAAGTGTCCAAAGGTGCCACCATAGAGTTGTGCCATGATTCTTATCCATGATCCAAAGCTAAATAGCATCATTTGTACTCATATGAAATACCTACTTCCCCCAGGCAGACTGTCGCGGTCAAAGATGCACAGCTTGTACCCAAATTCATTTTCCAAAACTCCTCGGAGGGTCAGTAATACAAATTCTTCTTCTTCAGCATTCCTTGCGTAGGATACATAAATATCATATTCCTTTCCATCTAGCAACAGGAACACAGGTCCAATATAAATTAGAAAAGTTTCTTGATAGTATTCGATATTTTTCTTAAATCAAACTTTTGCAAATTAGAGATTCTAATTTTTTACATATATGAATTATCTGACAGATTTTAGTGTGATTTCTCACTTATGAGAGGTCTCCAGGCAAAATGACTATTTTAAGGTGTAACTGCAAATTTTGTTTGATGTGTCTTCATTCATCTCACTGAGTTCAGTTTTAATGGTGGAGAATAAGTGAGCATTGGTTCATTCAACTATGAGTTAACAGAATCAGAAAGCAAATAGTCAATCATGGGTGCTGGCAATTAATACTATGTAGAAAATTTCTAGTTCCTGTCCTAGTATGTCACTCACTAATATATTAGAATTATAAATTGAGCAAAATTTTTTGAAAAGGTCTATTTTATACCTGAAAATAATCATAATTAAAAACACATAGGTTCAATAAGGAGATTTTTCCCAAAGTTGCTAATTATAAAAACTACCTCTCATTAAAAATACAGGTTCTGTGTCTCTTCCACAAATCTACTGAATAAAATCTTTATGGGATTGGTCTAAGAATCTGTATATTTAAATCTTCCATTCTTGTCACCAGGAAATAGCACATTAGAACAAAGCTTCCTGAACTTTTTAATGAACACATGAATCACTTAGTAATATTGTTAAAATGTAGATTCTGATTCAGAATAAGCATTTGGCTTAAGATTCTCCTTTTAATAAGCTCCCATGTGATTCTGATGCTTCTGGTGCATGGATAACCCCTAAGTACAAAGAGTATAGATAACCTCTGAGTCCAGTACAGCAGCTATAAACCACAGTGGTTACTGAGCACTGGAAATGCAGCTAGTCTGAAGTAAGATATGCTCTAAGTATAAAATATAATACATACTGAGTTTTTAAGATTTTTAGTACCAAAATTAAGACTAAAGTTTTTTATTAATATTGATTACAAGCTAAAATGATATTTTGAACATTTTGAGTTAAAATGTTATTAAAATTTTTTCACTTTCTTTTTACTTTTCATAATATGACCACTAGAAAAATTTAAATTACATGTGTGGCTTGCATTATATTTCTATTTGGACAGTGCCAATGGAGACTAAATCACATATTGAGCTAAGAAAACAGAATAATATGCATTAGAAAGATTTTCAATAATAAGGGCTGAAACAAGGCTAAAAGAGTACGATTAAATATTTCAGTTACTTTAGATTTTTATCAAGCCAGCATGCTTTCTAAAGATAACAGTATAGATTTACTCACCTAAAATGGTTTCATCTGTTCCAAAATGAGCCCGGTAAAATAGGACCATCTCAAGCCAGTAAACATGGTAAACGACAATGAGAATCACCACAAGCAGGACTGTGACTCCAAAACCACATGCCAGTTCCACTGTGTATCTTGGAGCTACCACTGGAGTAAACAGCAGAGAAATAATTGATTTCTGCGTGGTGATCAAAGCATCCTGCAAACAGCTGGATAATCCAAGCAGCTGAGCCATGCAGCTAATTTATATGTATGGACAAGCAGAGGTAACATGGTAGGGGTTAGACACTATGTTTTAATACTGGACTGTGTAATATGTAGTTTTTTGTTTCCAGCAACTGGCAGAGAAGGCCCTTTTTAACTATTAGATGATTTAAATAGACTTTGATGATATACAAATTAAAACAGAATCTTAGTATTGGAAAGGATTTAAAAGGCAATCTAATTCAATTTACAATCTGATACCTGAATATCCTCAAAAGTATTTTTGGAAAGTATAATTCCATCCCCTACTTATCCATCTCTTGAGATAGAATCCTAACTATTGCCTGGATCAGCCCATGATTATCGGTAGAGTTTTAATTGTTAGAGCAGTTAAATGGAGCAAAACTCTTAATGTGTTTCCTTCTATTAGTCTTAATTTCATTCTCTGGTCCAGTGCCATATAGAAGAAATTTAATTCCCTTTCCTTTATATTTGGAAATAAGCCTGAAAAATCTTCTTTTCATTGGGTAAAAACAGAGGGCTTCCACCAAATGCTGAGTATGCTCAGCTCTGAAAGTATCTCTTAGGTCTACAGTTCTAGGATATACATTCCAAAGACTGACTTGCAATATCCAGGTATAGACAGATTTTATTATATTGTAATTTGTCTACAAGCTTGCTTCTCCATTCTCTCTCTTATTACCCACTAAAACATATATTTGCAGTCTTCTGGGTAGAAACTATGTCTTCATCTATCCTATCCCTAGAACATCAAGAATCTGAATCAGCATTTCCAGATGTAATGTACGCTTCTAGGATATTTTTTAAAAACCTAATTCTACACAATTATCAGCAACTTCATTTGGCTGCCTTATTAGCTTGATAATAAAGCTTAAGAATTTGAAGAAGGAACAGAATATTCAGAATATCTGAAGCAGGAGTGGCTTAAATTATGTATTAACTGATTAGACAGTTACTTGTTGACAACTACTATTTGCTAGAAGCTGTTGGGGTTACAATGGTAGATAAGACAGAGTCTCTGTATTCTTAGGCCTAATATTCTAATGTA